TCGGAAGTCGGTCATCGAATGTGAATAAAATACCGAGTGGCAGTTTTAGTTTGACATAAATGATTAATGGAATTAACATCTTGTATGACAAACGTATGCATTCTAAGGAGTTGATATAAAATTCTATACAATTTATAGGTTTGTATTTTTCAAGATATATTTCATATACGTCCATAATTTTTCATATACATCTATAATTTTCTTTATAGAACAATATAGGTTAAGAATTAAAATAAAATTAGAAATATTTAGGTTAGGATTCGTTTGAAAATGGATATATATATATTTTTAGTTCAATAGTTCATTAATTCGTAAATAATTTGTTATAGTTGTTAAATGTTTTAATCATCAAATACTACTAAATAACCATAATGCATTATATTAACAAGTAATAAATATTACAAGTACTTATATAAACCAGAAATATAAAAAGGGTATTTTTATGAAATATTTCCAGAATTTTTCTCTTTTAATAAAAGCATCGTATTTTTTCCTTTTTCAATAAAAACGTTTCATTATTTAAGAGAGAGTGAGTCGGTGTCGCAGTAATGCTTACTAACTTGTTTTTCTGTTCCAGATCCAGGGAATAGCTATTATCTCCTAGCAGTAATTCAATAGCGGAGAAAATGACAGGAATGAAGGAAGATGGTAGGACGAGGAGGGTCGATGCTATGAGGAAGATGAGCGGTAAGAAAGAAAATATTTGTCAAGCGAAAATACAAATGAGCTGTCGTTCAAGAAATATACCTATAGATCCATAGATTTTATCTATAGATTTTATGATAAACGGACTCGCAGTTCGCTAATTCTAGGTTACAAGTATTTTTGATCGATATTCGTTTCTCCACATACATATTTACACGTATCATTAGAAGCAAGTAAAAAAGTCTTAATAAATGTGAATCCAAAAACCATTAATGTCGGACACGACGCATGAAAATTTCAAAATTCGAATATGAACGAGTTATTATTAACGAGGCTGAGTAATCAAGTCACCGTGCACGTGCAGAAACACAAGGTGCATTCTTTTAATTAAGATTGACAATGTTAATATGTATGTTTATTTACATAGTGTTAATATGACTGAGCTTACATTTCTTTGGATCGATTTCAGAAGTAGGGATTATTCTGTTACAAGTTTAATCCTTAAATGCACATCGTTCACCAATTATATATAAATTTACGACTTAAAAGAAATTGTACGCTAGAGTTAAAGTAAAAACAAAAATTTAATAATTCGAAAACCAATGGTTTTTGGACTAGTTGTTTATTAAGACTTTTTTACTTATTTTAATGAATATTATAATAGTTCTGAGTTGTCTGGCATCGAGACGTTTTATAAACATCCTTTTTCGACTTTCTTACTGTTCAATGATTTGTCGCATTGCGGCTGATCGAGTGTCCAGGTATGTATCACGTTTATCGTTCCCAAAATCGTTCGCAACTGCAGCAATTGACTTGCGGCCCATGAATGCTTTGTTATCGCACTGTAGACAGAGGTAGAGTTTCCTTTAAAGAATTTAGGAAAAATGCCAATGTAATAGACCCAAGAGATCCGTCTCTCGAAGTAATGAAGCAAAACTCAAGATATAAACCAGAAGATATATCGAGAGTATTTCGTTTTTATAAAAACCAATTTTTTTTTTATACTGTTGATACGCATTGTATATTCTTATTATAGGAACTAAACAAATAATTTGTTTGAAAATTTGAAAAAAAATTCCTTCCTAGCAATAATTTTATTTTATTGTATTTTGTATCACTGTAAAACAAGAAAAGGTCTGTTGAATGGTCGACAATTCGACTAATGCTGTAGGTAGGTGCACAGAACTTCTGCAGGATCTCCAAACATTCATCGTTATACGTTTCTAAATTAATTAATTGGCAGAACAATACATTGATTTCTATACAATGCTATTGATATAACCGAGGGTATAAATTGATGGGTATAGTTTCGCTGCTATTAAATCATCACAGAGAATTTGTTTTTGAACAACTACAATATTTCTGGCGCTTTATCTTGCAATTCGACTATTGTTTTATCTTTAATTCTTTGCACTTGTAATATGTTCTCCTTTAATCTTTGTACAGAGGTTGGTTACCGGTACAATGAATAATTCTATTCGTATAAGGTAATGAATAGATAACTGAAACGACTGCTCGATTATTATCTAAATTAAAGCTATTACCCTGCGAGGCCATGGTATAGCATTAAACAGCTTATTCGTTGTCGAAGTTCATTAGCATATACCAGATATTCCAGACAGTATCTTGATTTGCGCGACGCGTTAATCCTTTATGATCATATTCGATTTCTCCCTCTATCATAACACTCTCCTTCCGCTATCAATCTCTCGCAGGAATCAGGATCCTTTAGTCTTTGATAAAATTTTCACAAACAGTTTTGCTCTGTTTAAATAGAAAATTAAATAGATCGCAGTAATTTTTTGTAAACACTAAAGTTTATATTAAAATCCCTTTAATTTTAAAATTCTGTAAACTATGTATTACGCAAAATTTATACGTTTTGCCCACGGAATGAAAGATTTAGTTTTTATAAAATATTCATTCCAGCTTTTATAAAATTTCATTTTACAGTATATTATATAATTATTTATGTTATTTTAAACCTTTTACATCGGTGATATTTATCTTATTTTAATTATTTTAAGATATCTATGAGTATAGATTTTTTTTGGTTACTGATAACTACCGATGAAGTTTTCAATCATATTCTTTCTGTCATCTTTGTTTCGTTTTATTCAATTTGAAATGTATAGTAATTATAACCTATGTAATTATTATACATTATTACGTATTACTGTATTATTATTATAATTGTATAAGCAGATGATATATTATTAACGTAGCAATTAATTAAATGTTTCAAATAGGAGAGTAATAAAGGACGATAGTTGCTATAACAACATATGCATTACAATACAGTGTTTTGTCAGTGATATAGTCTGTATCTAAAATTAGGATTATCTAATATAATAGATGGTATATAGGACATTGTAATAGATGGTACATAGAACTATATAATAAAGCTATCCGAAAAATTAGGAACAAATAAATTACATTGCTTCTAAGTGTTAATAAAATCTCTTAACTTGATTATATTTTTTCAAGTATAAGAAATAATAATTGTACTTGATTTAATTAATTATTAACATATTTAAAATCAAAATACGTGATTGAAATTTTTTTATTTTAACATATCTTGAAAAATAAAAAAATTGTAAATGGGACATTGGATCTAAAAACTACAGTAATCTTGTTCTATTCGATGTATTTTTAAAACGATGACTTCTTAATTTTTTAAGTACAGCTAAGATTTTTATTATATTGTAAAAATTATAAAAACTATTTACTAATTATATAAAATTACAATATCAAAATTCAGTGATATACTACATAATATTAAAATTAATAGTGCTATTATTGTTTATATTAGTTAGTGATGTTTTTATGAAAGAACAACAAATACACAAGATTATAATTATGATAAAAATAAATTAAATTCAAATTTTAAAAATTTTTATTTGATTATATAGCCTGTTAATAATTACAAATAATCGCGAAAATTCTGACCTGTTTAAAACTTGATTATAATTTCATTCAGAATCACCGATTTTAATGCGATTCATTGCATAAAAAATTATTAGATTATTATAGATCAAGAGGTTTGAAATTTTGTTTGGTCGTCTTTTAAGACAACACACAGTGTAATTTTTGTAATTATTATGTCTTTATTATCACTCGAATTGTATGATTTTTGTAATTATTTTCCAACACGATATAATTTTCCCTACATATATTTTCTATAACATGTAAATCCGATGATTTTACCGGTCATTGCAGAAGTTTGATATTATGCGTATAAAAATAACTTTTTATACTTTTGGCGTTATATACTTATGGC